GGACCCAGTAGAAATCTTAAGCATGCAACATGGCTGTTGGTGGCATGAGCTTGCTGCTGTGTATACATGCCAGTATAAATGAACCTTCATTTCCATTTAACACGCGTGGTTTCTCAGAGCGTATGCGTACCTTAATCATACACTTGTACTACTGCTGTATGCATATGGCTGTATTAATGTTTCAAACATACAAAAATACATTAATGGAACAGTATTAAAGCATTCTTACAAGATCCCCATATGTAAATGCTACTTTTCTGATACATTTTAATATACGGGGACATTCAAACAAGTAGCTCTTACATATGCAAATGCATATCTTGTAAAAGCCCGTTTGTGCTGAAAATAGTATCGCACAACACGTCCGTCCACTAAAATTTTTGTACAAGACTGAAAATATTACAAAAATTCCACTTCAAATTTATCAAGAAATGTACTTAAAACAACGACAACGTACATTCGCTTGCAATTCGTTAGAATTTGATCTTATTCGTGGAAATTCATGACTACGCATGAATTGTTCACACTAATTCACTCATATAGCAAGCATCCTTCAAGAATGCATACAACCGATTTCTACTGGGGATTTAAGAGCGTGGCAATGCATGTAAATTATTTGTAATTTGCTCAACGTATATTTTGTTGTTATGTTTGTATGCGTAACGATTTCGATGTTAGACGTTATTGCTTTCACCTAATACTATATAGTATACAGTATCGTTTATTTGTTTGTCCTATTGACTTTTTAACTTACGCGCTACTTAAGTATTGTGGTACATATATGTACTATAAGTTGTTAATCTAATGGTTTAGTGTTGTGGTACATAGTGGTTTGACGTAAGAAAAGAAAAGAAAATATATATTTTTTAAAATTCTTTCCTCATGAACCATAGGAGTTATTAAACAATTACAAAAATAATTAAATATTTTTCAAAGCTTTTAAAGCTTTAAGCACTACCAGTGCAATTTACTTATTCGAAATGGGGTGCATTTGATTTCTAGAGGAGACTAAAGTAATTTAGCCATACATAAACAGCTTGAAAGCTCAAACCAGGGTACATTTTTAATAGTCGGATGTGGACTGGTACAAGCCTAGCTTTAGAAATGGACTTTGAGCCAAGTTTGAATCGTGTTTATTTTCAAATATTTTAATTGGTTGAGGCTTTACAGCCATCTGCAAAACTTCAATCAGCTTCTGATGGCTAAGATGAGCTCTCATGAAGAGCTCAGAAGCTTCAAAAACAACGTATCACTGCAAAGCATCGATATATTCGAATTTTATTCGCAATTCTTTCAATTTTCGAATAAACTTACGGTTATTTTGTTGGCTAGGTATGTATGTATATGTATACCAATGTGTGTACATACATACATATATGTATGTATAATATATTTACGTACACACTATGTAGTGATTTCGTTTCTTCCAAAAAATGTTGCCCTTCCTCGGCGCAAAATATATTTGATGTTACACTCAACCCTGTAAAAGGGCATTTTTTTTACCTTTTTGTCCTTGTCTCGCTCACGCATTTCATAATATAGCCGTTTAAAATAACCAACTGATTTTCAGGGCAACCATCTGCCCTGACAAAGCTTCACAGGGTAGAGAATGAGCTTTTTTTGCTTTACAAGGGTGTGAAATTTTAAGAAACGAACACAAAATTATCTCACCCTTTGCCTTTAATTTAGAATCAAACACGAGAAGAGAAGGGAGCAATCAAAAGGTGACATTTTTTGGTTCAAACGAAATCACCATAAGTAAGTATACGCTTTACTCTCGTCAAATTGGCGCCATGCACATTTCAAAGTTATCCTAGACGAGTTATTTTTCTTTTGATTTGGGTTAAATGCCACTGACTGACTTGTCTACATACATACAAATGTATGTTGCTATCTTTAAAGTTCGTTTAAGGTCTCTTGCATCAAGGCAGAGACACCAAATACGACAGCGTATGTTGACAGCTGCTTCTAGAGCAACTTGAGATAATAAAGTGATGCTGATTACACTGTAGGGACTAGGCTGTTCGATTATTCGCCTTTATCCAAAACCGCGTTTCGAGTTATTCGAATAAGTACACAGTTTTTTAGATCAAAAGTAGGACAAATAAAAATCAGTGAAAAATTCATGTTTAGTCTTATTTTAAGCCTTTTGAATACGTAATTGCATTTTTTCTGACTTTTTATTTTTTTTTTTATTTATTTATTGGAATCAAATAACCTAGAATATAATTTCAAAACTATTTAAACACCCCTTAAACAGGAAAATGGCTTGAAAACTTCGAAAACCCCTAACTTTTATTGAGACCTCAAAATTTGTATGAAATGAAAAAACCGGTTTTTTTGAAAAAATAAAAATCCGGTTTATTCTATACCGAAAAAGCAAGAAAACCCCGCCTATAGATATTAAAAAACAAAAAAAAAAAACGGTGGGAAACGGTTTGGACAAACCGAGACGTTGACCCTAGTAGAGACGTTAAAGTGACACAAAAAACGCCGAGACATCTAAATTTGAGTAGTAGATTATGGATTTGTATACCGTTTTTCTATATAAGTTCATTTTTCCAAGATATTTTCATTTTAAGTTTGGATTGCGAATGAAAAAATGTCAAACTTTAACATCGAAAATAATACTCATACGCCATGTACGAGTATGTACGAGTATGGCCATGTACTTTATGTTTTTATGTTTTAAGTTTTGCAACAAAAAAGGAAAAAGAAGTAACATCTCATGACAAATTTTGAATAAAAAGTGCAGGAAAAGTAATTTTAGGAAAAATTAAGTATAAAAAAATAAAAAAAAAATAAAAAAAAATTATAATTTAAAAAGTTTTTTAGCGTTTAGACACCTTTCTGCGCTTTGGATTATAACCTTTACCAAATAGAATTCTCCGTTTTGATGTAGCCTTGGGAAAGGATGAGGTAACTAGAATTCCCTTTCTGCGTGGTAAACCTGGGATTTTTGCTTATTGCCTTTTGTCTTTATCCTTCGTGTATATTTTGTGTGTTTGACAGCCCAGCTCCGCCATTTAATATGCATATACAATCACAGGCGCACGGGTTATTTTCATAGCAATTTTAATTAATAAATTGCGACGAATAAGTTTCAACTAAAGGAATAAAACAACCAGCAACTAATAGTGTGATGCGTAGAGTAAATATAAACATAAAAATGAAGATATTAAGTGGCTGCTTTAAGGCAGAATAAGAGTAATCAGTGTACGTATATTTCGGAAAGAGTCGCCGGTGTTTATTTATGTAAAAAATTTCATCGTTAGTAGCATGGTTTAAAAAAAAAATGAAAAAACATACAAAAAATTTTTTATGTTTTAATTGTTTCCTTGTTAAAGTTTAAATTTTTTTTCATAAAATGAAAATATCTTGGGAAAATTACCTGATCTGGAAAAAAGTATTCCTATAGATCCACAATCTACAACCCAAAATGAAGTTCAATTGTTGAATATAATTGTTAAAAGGTCATAAATAACAAAAAAAAAAACAATAACAAAAATGAGTCCTTATGTTTTATATACTTGTATATTTATATGCTAGCAAGAATGTGCAAAATTTGTGCATTCATAACTAACTATATTTGAATTATCTAAATATTTATTTGACGTCGTGTTTGCTCATCCCAGGCTTTCTCTCAATTCTTACAGGATTCAGCTTCAACTCGCATACCACGCCTTGATGGCGGCTCACGTATACCATTGCCCGGCAGCCTGCGACTACCCAGCTCAAGTGCACAAACCGTTACCGGCATAGCGGCACGTACATCACAAATTCTTCAGCGCGCCTCCACAGTTGGATTCGCACAGAAACGTCCTACGTCATTGGCTGGTCTGCGACCGCCCATTGTAAGCGCGAATGCACTTAAACGTAGTGCGTCCGGTGATCACATAACCCAAGCCGTGAATTTGGTAACCAGAAAAACTGCAACAGCAATAAAGAAATGGATTGGTAAGCCAGAGAAAATGCCGCCACCAATTTCAGTGCCAAAGGCACTAAGTGTTGCGCAGTCCAAAATTAAACGAAAACAAGCAACGCAACAAAATGCGCCTAGCCCAAATCCGGTGCCGGGGAATAGTCTTATGGGCACACCGCGATCGCTTACGCGATCTGACACATTTGTGCGTACTGACAGTCCCAACGATGAAATACAGTTCTCACCAAATTTGCTAACACAATCGACACCAGCACCACCTACCGCTGGTTCTCTGGCAACTACGCGCATACTCCGTCCACCGGATATCAATGAGACAACGAAGTTGTTGAGCAACAACACGCGTCATGCACTATATACCACCCAAACCCTGGACAGCAGCCAGCTGAATCCATCGCCGAAATTCGGTGACACGTTTGACACAAGCAAGAGACGCACTATTATGCTGGAAGAGGCGAAAGAGAATGTGACAGTTAATCTTGATAATCGCTATTCCCCGAATGCAACGCAAGCAATCTTGAACCCAAATCTCACCACAACCTTCAATGCACCGGCCCTGCTTGGTCAAACTAAGAACGCGGTCTCTTCAGCGGAAACTTTCACATACAAATCTCATTTGATTACAAATGACACACTCCGCTTGGACACAACATCGTCCTTGGGTCTATGTGCTACGAAAATAATCGACTCTGCCGATGCGGTCTCACCAATTACTAACGCCACCTACTCAAATCCTGACTCGTTAGATAATCTGCAGTTACTGGAAGATGTGTCTGCACCATCTGGTTTCTTAGAAATGGATCTGACATTGCAATCAGACTGCGCAAGCGAACGCGAAAAGACACGTGACAATCTCTTAGACTGTTCCACATCCTCAGATCCAGATGAAATGAATGCCACATTGAAAGCGATGGCGCCAGAAAAAACTGACATGAAACTGCCACTCAACTCAACGGTGAATACGGAAAAGTTGCTCGATCTCACCGCCAGTATGCTGTCGCCGTCAAATCAGCGAACGCGCATGATGAATTTGACTAAAGATTATCTGGAGTCGTCGGGCATCGTTTCGGAAAACACAAGTCAGCTGTTGTATATGACCCAACATCAGTATATTACTTCAGAGAACAACACCCCCGACTACAATCCCGTTATGAAATTTCAAGAAAAGCAACATCTACTTACTTCTCCTCAACTCCCACTCAAAGGCGCCCATAGCGACTTGGCGTTGCCGACACGCACTCCAGACGACGAGCCATTAAGCGTAGCCATGGAAGTCGATGCGACTACTTTGCTTGCAATGGGTTCACGCACCGCAGATTTCTACACAGCACGAGATGGCAAACAAAGACAATTGCTTGGCACCGCCACATCGTTACAGGACGTCAACAATCCGAATATGAAACAGAAGTCGCGTTACTCATTTGGTTTGGATCTCACCGAGTCCACGCTAGATTGCTCAATTGAACTGGTTGATGTCTCACTTTCGTCGAACGTGGCTGCTTATTCGACAGCTAACGGTGCCATGACGGCTCACCTGCCATCGCCTTCCACACAACTACAATCGCAACAACACCCGCAATCGTTGAGGCGACAAACCTCTTTTGAGTTAGATGAAAGTCTAGGTATTTTGACACCCGATCAAATGAAGGAGTTCTTAGATTCTACAAATACTAACAACACAAACAATTTGGATCTACCGCTGGCGGCGCATACAGGAAATAAGATGACAATTCATCACATGCGCATCGATCAGACGCCATCGCCAGAGGAGTTGCCCCTCGATCCTGTTGAGGTAAAGACTGATGTCACAGAGCTTTTACTGTCACACCAACAACAACATCAGCGCAATATCTTCGAGTCGACAATAAATCTTCAACAGCAGCAGCAATTGCAGCAGCATCAGCAACAAATACAACAGCAACAACTGCAGTCCAGCTCAATCAGCACTGCTGAAACGGTCTCCACCCATACAGATACCGACATCTCCTCTAAAGCTTCAGACGCCATGACCAAATCCAATGTTTCGAATGTCTCGAAGATTTCTACTAGCTTTATCACTAGCGTCACCAGCGTAACTAGCCTGGACACTGGCTATCAGGGCGATGGCGAAATGTCGCGCCCTGCTTCGCGTGGCGCTTCCGACCATTCGCCTTCTAATGGCCCTGCGGCACGTAAGGGCGGCCACGTTTCACGGCAACCAAGCTTTAATCAACAATTGCAACAACAGCAAATGCCGCTGGTTCGCCGCCAAGATCCCATGACTGACTCTGACTTCTTCACTGAATCCGATGCGGATGATATCTTTCATCGTGGCGATCGACGCGCGCAAGTAATCGATGGGCAATTGTATGGACCGACGCTGCAGCCAGCAGCCTCAGTGTTCATATCCGAGGATCCAGAAGATTCATGCATGGAATCATCGGGCATATTCACGGATGTCGAGAATCGATGCGACGATGATTTGGCGCAAATGCGGCGTCAAGACACACAAGATGCTATGTTAGATATGTCTCCGGAGGGAGAAGGCGATGATTCAACGGAAACAGTGAAGAGCAATCGGGAGGGTGGTAAACATGTCACTAACAGCGAGCGAAATGTAAACAAAAGTGAAATGAATGCCGGTGGCGGCGACGTAACTCTTGTCACAAACACACGAAATGCTGCTGCCGCCACAACACTCGGTCAAGGTCAGTTGAGCAGCAGCCAAACATCTTCCACCATACACAGCAGTATGAGTACCGATCGACTCTCTGCAGCGACGCTCTCCAATCGCACCTCATACTGCAGTGTCGACGGCAATACTGTAAATGTGGACTGCAAAAGCTTCTCCTCGCTGGAAGAAGCTTTTGCTGAGAGCACCAACGCGATCAACAACACTACGCTGAGCCCAGCAAGCGCTGAGTGCACAAGACGGTCGCTATTCTCGAAATCTGGAAACGATGACTGCGGCGTCGTTGATAGCATGGCTGGCGCTGAAGTACAACAGCGCGTGTCAGTGCAGAGAGTGACTCCACCGCGTAAGCACGCGTCGTTAACTTCGCTCTCAACGGTCGCGGCGAATAGCGCCGCATTTGGTGGTGCTAAATTAGAAAACGACGAAAACAGATTCACCTTAGGTTTATCGGCATCGCGTGGTCGCGTGCTTATTGAAAGGGAAACGCATTCGGAATCGGGCACAGCTGGTACGAAAGTGGCATGCGCGTCATCCTCATCATCAACGACTTCACTGTCTGTGGACAATCAAAGTAACCACAGCAAGAATATACAACGATCCGCATTAGAGGCGGCCGTTGCAGCAGCCGCAAAAGCCACAAACGCCGCGTGTGGCGCCAATAAACAAACGCCGTCGCGTACAACAAAATTCGCATCCGCGCGTAATTCGCCCAAGCAACGTACGTCAAGCGGGTCGGTCGCGAGTGTAAATGATATCGGTGCGGCAACAGTGAATGTGCGTAGCAAAAAGGCGACACCCAATAAATGGGAAGCAGTGATGAATAAAATTCAAAGCAACAAAGCGTTACCTAAGAAAAATTTGAAAGAAGTGAAATCAAAAGTGTCAACATTACGCCCCACTAATGGGGTAGGTGCTACGAGCGGTGCTGGTGGTGGTGGTGGTCTCGCCGCCGCCGCCGCCGCCGCAACAAATGTTGTGCCGTCGACTCGATTGCATACAAATGCAATACAGCCGCGTGCGAGCGCCACCTCCACGCCACTAATAAGGCGTTCACCAACCTCAACCGCTGTGAGCGGTGCGATGAGTCCGCGTACTAATGCGCTGTTGCTATCACTGCGGCCGACGGATAACGGCGCAAAACGCAGCGGTAGTGGCAGTCCAACAACAGCGCAACAGGTGTCGAAACGACTATTCCAGGGTGTTGCAGCTAAGCGGTAAGTTTTACTAAATAATTGGGGTACTAAATAAATGCAATAAACAAATTATCTGTTTATATTATATGTCTATTGGGTTTTCGCATTCCATAGCGTTTTATCTCGCACTGCTTGAGTGATTGTCGAGTGGACGTGCTAAAAGGCTGTCCGTTCATCAGACAGCTACTCGTATTTATTATTTATTTATATATATCGTTGAGTATTTGATATTTACTTATCGCTTCTATCTAAATGCTTTTAAATTACACAAGCGCCGTTACCGTTATCTTACTCTTTATAAATAAGTGCATACAAATAAAAAGTTTAGTTTGCACAATATATGTATGCAAGTGTTTTTGGCGCGTCTGGTTTTACTTTGCTTACGCGGCATTTTAAGTTTAGCTGCCTATTTTAAATTTGAGCCCATATTTGTTTAATTCAGGAATCAAATTCCATAGATCTGGTTGACTTTGCCTTTTGCCTTGTGCTCGTATTTTTCCATCATTTCAAAGCAAATAATCTACGTTTTAGCTACTGAAGTTTGTTAAATTAATTTTTGTGCTTTTTCTTACTCTGTTAGAAATTTTGGCACTTGAATACATATGTATTTAGCTGAAAATGATACGGACTTATAAACAGGGTGCTTAGCAAGCTAATTTTTCATAATACATATCTTATTCACGCACAGGGGTTGTAACTGTTGCGTTTTTTTTTTTCAAAAAAGTCGAAATAGCCGTTATTTTTCATCGATATGTTTTCGGGTAATAATTAAGAGTTAAATTTTTTTTTTATTTTTTCGGTCAAAAATAACTTACAATTTGACTTTTATTTTGTTATTGTTATTATTTTGTTTTCGTTAAAAAATAACAGCTAAAATTTGACTTTTACTTTTTCGATCAAAAATAACAGTTTGCTTTCGGTCTTCATATAGTTTTATTACATCGCTTATCTGCTTATCATTAGGGCTGTTCAGGATCTTGTGCATATGCTCATGCATTTGCACATTCTTTGCATTTGTAAATTCACAAATATAAAATGCACATGGTAGCCATGGCATGTTTCCACAACATCCTGAACAGCCTCATTGTACAAAAGACCAATATCCTGTTTATTTATTGGTAGCAATAAAACATTTCTAATTTATACATGAAAAAGCAGAAGAAATAGCGATTAAATTGTAACTTTTATTCTTTATAGAAAAAAATAAAAGAAAAAATTTAATTTTAAAAGTAAAATTTTATCTTTTATTTTTGATCGAAAAAAAAATTAGACTAAAACTTTAACTTTTATTGCAGACTGAAAAAGAGTAAAATTTCGACTGTAATACCGGTACAAAAGTAACGATTAATTGTTGACTTAAAAAAAAAATAAATATAAATAAAATTATTTTAAATTAATACTCTCTAGCTAAATATAAATATTCTTTCCGTCTGTCTTATTGAATTGAAATTTCCAAAATAACTGTTATTTTCGATCCCTGCTCACACCTACTTATTTCATCCTTAAAAAAAAAACATAAAATACCACCTTAACAAATTGGTCTAGTCGTTAAAACCGCGTTTTGATTTAAAATAAATCTTCATATATTAAATAATATTGGCTGTTAGTTACGTTACATTAGCCTAGGTCAAAGTGCCTTACGTATTCAGACTTTTCCTGGTTTTTACAACTCCTGCTACCTGGCAGGCGCAGCCTATCAAAAATTAGGTATGCAGTTTTATAGCCCATCAACTTTTATTAAATGAAGTGCAAATTTCAAGACGCTAGAAAATCCCTTTGATTTTGAATAATTTTTTTTTTTGCTGACTGTGACAGCTATTTTCTTCCATATGAAAGAAATTGTCGATCATACTTTATATATTTAGAAGAAAATGAACAACACCGTCGGCTAAAAAAAAATATAATTAGAAGTTAACGCAATTTTTCTAAAAACTCTGAGCAAAAAGTTTGAAATTTTTTGGTGGAAAATTAATATAATAATTTTTGTACAAAATTTAAAATGTGGGCTTATGTGTGCTTGTTATATAATGTGCTAGTTATATAATGTGCTACACTTTTACAAAAAACAATAAACAAAAGAAATAGCCAAAACTGTCGCCTCCTTAAGCCACAGCCAAGTTGCAATCTTTTTGTTGAAAACTTTTTGAAATTCAATGTGTTATTGAAAGTTTAAATTCTGAATTTAAATTTTATACCTATTTTCTAAAGCGCTAAGATGTGCTAAAAAATATATGAGTGAGAAGGTGATTTAAAAATTAAATTTGGATTTAGCATCATTTTAAAACTTCTGTAAAAACGCGTATTTGTTTTACTTGTAATACATTTGGATCATTCCTTAGATATGTACATACTTACCGATCATTCTTTTTCCTACTTATTTTAATTAAAACCTAATTTAATGTCCCTAATTTTCAAATTCTCCGAAGGTTAATTAATATTGGGTTTGGTTAGACTTGAAGGTCCATTGTGATACCACTGCATTACACTGGAACCTCAGTGACTCTTAGAAAGCGTAGGACTGGCTTTATGCCGACAACGGATAATTCCGTAAGAGAGCGAAAGAAGTGCCGACCTAAAAAGCCTGCTCTTTTCTTGGAAAAAGCTGGGCAGCTGCAGAAAAAGTGCTCACGGTTGCTTCCTCATCTCTGCAACTTCTGCAATATTCATGTCTTGAAGAGTGCCTGCCAAATAGCCAATGACCGGTTATACAAGCCGTGACCATCGCAATATCCTCTCATGAGATGCTGAGCAACTCTTTTATCCTTGTCTTATCTATATGTGGCCATAGAGGCCTGGTTGTTTTACAAGTGCCCTCCTCTTAGCCCAGAACTGTTGGCATATTGAATCGTGTTATTTCCAATCTATAATTTGCAGCTTGCCATGGGTATCCCAACTATAACTCTGCCTTCACATAGGGGAAAATTGGTACCTTTCCTGGCTAGCTCATCGGCCCTGCAATTTCCGTCAATATCTCTATGTACCGGGACCCATATGAGAATAACCTTTAATACGGCGCTAATATCTTTAGAGTTGCGAAGCATTCATGCGCAATCTTCGATCTTAGCAGTACCGCGTTCATTGATTTGACGGCCGCCTGAATGTCCGAGAAGATGTTAATCGTAGTCTTCGTTACGCCATGCGTACTAAGGTAAGCCACCTCCTTTACAGCTGAAATTTCTGTCTAATAAGCGCTGCAGTGGTCCGGATTTCGGACGGATAATTCCAGTCCTAGTTCCTTAAAGAAACCTCCGTAGCCAACCCTATTTTCTAGCTTGGCTACATCCATGTAAAAATGCAATTCCCCCTTCTCCATGGCCCTGGTGTTTGCAGATCTCTTCATGACGAGATGCTCGAGTAGTCGATTTCTTGGTCATAACTACCCAGATTGTGAGGTATGGAGGCGTGGCCGAGTCGCCGAACCGCCAATCCTTCCATAGCGCCACGCATTTTCCTACCATTATATTAATATTGTAAATAAAAAAAAAAACATAAGTTCCTTCATACTTATCGGATCTAACCGCCAAAATGATGTACGCGATTTTTTTCAAAATTTTCTTCTTAATTCCGAAATACTCTTAAAACATCTAAAAGCAAAATTTTGACTTAATGGAGTCGAAAATAGCTATGAAACCCACCCAAAGTGCTCAATGGAATGTTGAGAGCATACAGTTCTAACAAAATTGCCCTATAAAGCTGTGTTTGCAAACACTGAGTGGAAGCTGTTTTTGACACTATATTTGGAAGTATTGTGTGTGTAAATATTTACATAAAAACCGAAATTCCACTGGCAGTAAAGTTACACAGTGGCACAGAAAACGAGCTAGTTGGATATACTTAGGGGATTCACAAGACGTGTTAACCGTCGTAAAATCTTAAGGTTAACATCTTTTTTAATTAAAATGGTTTTAGGGGATTTCTAACTAAACCGAAATTCTTTTAAACTGATAAAGAATATATAATTAGCCAACCCCCCAACCATTTTAACCGCTATTTTACATAAACAAGTGTTAAGCTTAAGATTTTACGACGGTTAACACGTCTTGTGAATCCCCTAACTATGTATGCCGGCTTATTAGTTAGTGTTTTGCTCAGCTGCACAAGTACACACATACATACATACACAAATACATATGTATGTTTAAATGCAGAACACCTGCAGCGCCCATCAACCGTTCAATTACCACAAGTTGCTATGCGAGTATACCAAAAGCAATCGTATCACAACTTAAGTACAATAAAAAGTCTCCATTACTCTCAACAATTATGCTTCAGCAATTAAATAACAGCGATTCAATGTATTCAGTTTAAGTACGCATTAATTTTGTTTATGTGGAAATATTGTATTATATACCTGCTATGTTTGTATGTATACTTACAGAGGTACATATGTACATACATATATCAGTCAGACAAAGCTGAATGTGTAGTTATTTAGTAGAGAATACTTCCGAAAAAAATAGTGCCTGCTTTAGGCGGTTTTATTCATTTTGAAATTAAAATCGAACGTTTAAATTAACTCACAAATCAGTTGGCAACTCATTAAGTTTGTGAATGTTAGTCGCCGATATTTCAATTACATTTGCCGCTATCCAACTATTTATGAGCTTACTGAATGTTTTGAAAATAAAGTAAATAGTTGTTGTGGTAGGAGTGCAGTCTACCATGCCAAGATTTTTATGCGCCAATAAGACGTTCCGGTTACTATTGTAGCTACGTCAGTATGTATAAACGTGCATCCATTAGGCGGGCTCGGGTGAAAAAGTTTGTTGTTGTGTTATCTACAAAAGTTTGGCTGTGTTTTAGGATGTAGCTAGCTGACGTCAAAATTATCTCGTATGTAGTAAGCTTTCTAACTTTTTTATAATTCTGTGAGGACTGACCCGTCCTAATATGTATACATTTATGGCCATATAGATAGCTGTCGGTATCTTCACAATTGTTTACGGCAACGAGACCGCCAAACCACAAATAGTGTTGCATCAAAACATATTGACAACAACAAAAACGCAAGTAAGCAATTA